TTTAAAAAATATATTTATATGTTGATATTTTTAAATTAAATTTTATAAAAATAAATATTAGCTAATTTTTAAATATGTAATAATTTTAAAAATTAATGTTAGATAATATTTAATAATTTTAAAGCACCAAAACAAATACTTCTTAGTATTGTTTATTTCTCTCTTCTCTCCTTTATTGCCATTGTTCCTAACAATAATTTTCCTGAAAAAAAAGTTCAACTTTTGCTATGAAAAAAAAAAGTGTTCAATTTCTCAAACCCATTATTACGGTTAAGGGATTCTTTTTGAATAATTCATCCAATTAACCCAAGATTGAAAGGACCTTAAGAATAGAAATTAAGAGAGTACTTCTAAAATACAAAATCAAGGAAGGAATCCAAGAAAACAAGTAGACACTAGAGACAAAAGTAACAAATTAAATAAACAAACAAATTTGTCTCTTCTCGGTTAGATTCTCTACCTGTTGCTTGATTGCAGGAAGTTTCGGTATGCTCTGTTCATTCCAGAAAAAGTTGTCTGGATCAATTGCAGTCTTAACCTTCACCAACCTTTCAAAATTTTTATCAAAGTACTTGATACCAAAAACTTTACCATCTTCAAAGTTATCCTTACCGTGGCTATTGATACCAATATCAAGGTCCCTATAATTCAAGAAGGCCCTCCTAGGATTCTTTGATACAAACGGTGTCATGTAACTATATAGCTTTCTTATCTGACCCATAAGATTTTTTTCTGCATCAGCTCCTGGCTCCAGCCAACTCACATTGTACTGAATTTTGTACAAATTCCCTGCACGGTGAGGAAATGGTGTAGCATCAGAAGGGACCTCATTCATTTTCCCTCCATAAGGAATGAAAATAAGCTCAGTGTTTCCCAACTCAATCATCTTTTTCGATATCCATTTCAACCCATCTTTGGAAATCGGGGTCTCTACATAATCGGATTTTATTTTGTTGAAATAAATTGAGTAACGGCTTCGGTCAAGCAATGCATCAAGTGATGAGCCATTGTTAGAATTCATCCCCCAAAGCACAGAATCAATCCACCTCATTTCCTTGCAATTTTCCTTCTTCAGTCCCAGCAAAGGAAACTCCTTCTCCAACAATGTGACAAGTTCATTAGCACTTCCTAGAAACAAAGCCTTAATTGAGGCTCTGATGGTTTTCTTCCCCTTGGAGATCACAGGCTGCAAAGTCATCCTCATGAAAAGCCTATCATCAGTGTGTGGTGCAACATGCTGCCACTTGAAAACAATATCAGTGACATTTTGATCCAAAGTGTTGTCAACTAGAAAAACTGTAACCTTTTCTGGTACTGGAACAAGTTTAACTGTGTATGATAATATGACTCCAAAACTTGCTCCTCCCCCTCCTCTAATAGCCCAGAAAAGGTCTTCTCCCATAGCCTCCTTGTCAAGAATCCTACCTCTGACATCAACAATTTTAGCATCAACAACATGATCAATAGTTAAACCATATTTTCTTATAATGTTACCATACCCTCCTCCACTCAAGTGACCACCAACACCAATTGTTGGACAGGCTCCTGCAGCAAACGCATGAACTTCACTCTTCTCCCAAATCCTGTAATAAACTTGTCCAAGACTAGCACCAGCTTGAATCACAGCAACCTCATTTTGCACGTCCACATTGACATTCTGAAAATTGAACATGTCAAGGATGGCAAAGGGTACCTGAGAGACGTATGAAGCACCTTCAAAATCATGGCCACCACTCCTGATTTTGAGTTGAAGGCCAATGCTTTTGGCGCACACCACAGTGGCTTGTACTTGGTGTTCACTGAAAGGGGTAACAATGAGTAATGGTTTTGGGGTTGACAGGGTGTTGAACCTGGCATTTCTAACATAGGCTCCAAGAATAGAGGCGTAGGATGCATTTGTTTGGGCATAGACTATGTTGGAAACTTGATCTTGTGGGCTTGTGTGGCTTCGGAGACACTGAAGAAAAGTTTCGTGAGTGGTCTCTCTTGATGAGATTGTGATAGAGTTAGGGACATGAAGAAGCAGAACAATGACAGAAAGAAATAGCAGGGGATTTAATTTTTCCATTTGTTCTATTTTGCAGAGCTTAGTCCCGGGTTGATACTCTTTTATGTCTACCTGATTTCACCAAACCTTGAGTATGTTTTCGTAATGATAGTGCATAATAATTGAAGATATTTTCATTCCTACTCGTCCCATTCCATCAAATATCAATAATTTACCTACTGTAGATGATGTATGAATAATGTTTTGTTCACCTCTAAAGAGTGGGACTCTCTTGAAAAAAAAAACAAAAGGATGTAAATCATGTAATATGATATTTAATTTTTCCAATATTCGTTCAATTCTGGATAAAATTACTATGCGTCGGTGCGATTTTATACAAAGGACGAAGAAGACATGGCTGTTTTGTTTTTATCTTTTGATGTTTCATTTTTTTAATTTTGATTTTGGTTGATAAGTGTTTCGTATATTTCAACAATAAGTAGTCAATTATCCAAAATTGGTAAAATCTTGATAATATGTTAACTTTTCTGTTCCAGTTGAAATATTATAAATGTACTGTTGCTGATGAATAAAAGTATTTTCCTACTCTCCTCATTCAAATTCTTCTCAGTATTATAGCTTCTCTATTTTTCTTTTATGTCATAAGACCTTCAAATTAGTATCAAGAGTTATCTTCTTATGAAACCTATAAAAGAAAAATGGAAGCTGAAACAGGTTTTTCACATGTTGCTTCTGTCATGTTTGATGAAGAGAGTTATGAAATTTGGATGGTGAAGATGAAGTCATACTTGGATACTTTGGATCTATGGGATGTTGTAGAAAAGGATTATCAAGTGTCTCCATTGCTTCAAAATCCTACTTCTATGCAAACTATATATTACAAGAAAAGAAAAACAATGAAAGCAAAGGCGAAATCGTGTTTATTTAGTATTTTACAAATCAACTTTACTCAAATTATGATCTTGAAATACCAAAGGAAATATGAACTATTTGAAGGAAGAATATGTTGAAAATGAGCGGATTTGAGATATACAAGTCTTGAATTTAAGGTAAGAAATTGAGTTTCAAAAAATGAAAGAATGAGACGATCAAGGATTACTCAAATAAAGTATTAAATATTGTTAACAAATATTTCATATTTACGTATTTAGAAAATAATTATAAAATATAAATAATATATTAATAACTTTTAAAAATATTATATAATAATAGTCATAAGATAACAAATGTGAAAAAAATATTCCTATTTTATTCAATTTTTTATACTTAACCAAACATTAAATAAGGAAAAAAAATATATATATATATATATAAAATTAAATATGATATTCTATTCTGTACAATAAACACTGAACACAAAATAAAACACATAATTTTGTTCTTTTCTGTTATTACCAAATACAGTATAAATATATTATTATTTTGTTTTATTCCACCCTGTTTCACTATCAAATGCTGTTTAATATTATATTTGCATACGTCGAAGAAAATTGATTGGAGTTTAAAGATCATTTTTAAAATAAATAGTTTAAATCAAATAAAGAAAAAGAAGAAAGGAAAGAATGAGGCATTCCATTGAGGAATACACACATACCCACAAAGGGTCCAATGTTTAAGCGGACTAATGCGAAGTTTTTATATATAAAAAATTAAAAAAAAAATAAAAATAATTTTTCTTGAATAATATTTGGAATTTATTTATAAAAAAAGTATACCTCAATTATTATTATAATAAGTCAATTAATAATGAAATTTGTATAAATTTTGAAAACTTAAAACAAGAATTTGTCAGGCTTTATACTTTAGGTGGCCCTAACCATAATGCATTAATTGTATTGGATTAGAGCTCCCACCCATTTTTGCAATTGTAAAGTCAGTGTTTATGGTCAGAATCTACAATTGGCATGTAGTATACGTAAAACATTCACCTTCTTTATTTCACTACTATGGAGAAATTTAAGAAAGTTTCTTAACTAGTATTTTAATAATATTTCACATTTCCCTATAATACTATATCACCATCCTTATTATAAGAAAACTATTTTTTTTTTACTCCATCAAGAAATTTATTAAAGTTTCTTAAATGGACTACACAAAATATAAATGTGGAACAAAAGTAATTTAATATTGAAGGTTGACCTCACAAATTCAAAAAGAAACTGTTGCTAGAAGAAGCAATCTATTTTATAATTGGTACCCATACAATTCCTCTTCAATGATATAAATGTTGCATTTGAGATTCTTTTACCATGTGTCAAGAGAACATCTCCAATTGAAAATGCCGTTATGCATGAAGGATAACGAGGAAAAGAGAGACAAATAAAAAAGATAAAAGGAGTAAAAGTACACCTCATGTAATTTTGATGGAAAAAAATTTATTAAGAGGGAAAAGAAAGATAGAAAAGCATGTGTACTAACTACTAAGAGATACAAATATATGATCTTAATAAAGTTTATATACTTTTCTTAACTTTACCTTTTAATTTTTATAATTAAAACATTTTATTTTAGTTTTTATATATATATGATTTTTGTTTTCTTTTAGTTTATATAGTTTTGTATACTTTATTTTTTAGTCTTTATTATTTTATAGACTTTATTTAATCTGATTCTTACAATTTTTATATGAGGAAACATATAAAATGAACATGCTTTTAAAAGTTAGAAGCATCTTATTATATAAAATAAAAGCTCTATATATAAGTTAATTAAATTGAGGAAAATATTATAAATTTATACTTGAGTTTTGCGATTTCTATACGAGCAAGCATATTTTTTTTTTTCGTTTCTGGAATATTTACCGCTGATAGAGGCAGGATTCGAACTCCTGACCTTGCTTAAGTGTGAATCAACCTCTATCGCTAAACTACACGTTTGGAATTATACGAGCAAGCATATGAAATGTGCATACTTATAAAATAAAATAAAAAATTGGGAGCATCATAATTATTTCTGTTATCAGAAAATTTATTTTGGAGCGTTTGTTTTTTTTGAAAATTATAATTATAGAACATTTACGTAATTTTTATATTTTTACTTTACACCTATTAGTATTCACATTCAACAATTAATTATAATAGGATATACTTTTTTATATTTTATATTGTTATTAAGATAAGATATATATACTTTGTACATGATTAATACGTATAATTTTACTTAACAATTAATTGTAATTAATTTTATATCTTTCTATTAATGTCTTTTATGTTATGAATAATAATTAGTGGCTTAATTAGTGAATGTCAATATTCATTATCAATCATTACTATTTATATTTCCGTTATATATTATTCTCTTTATTGTGTAATTGTTCAGTTACCACATGTACTTATAAATAAGTTAGTCCTCTCCCAAAGATAAGATACCCGTTAGATTCTATTCTACATCTCATATTATCTTGTTTGCTCTCTATACTTTTTCTCTCTTTTATAACACGTTATCAGCACGATAGTCTTTTATCTATTGGTCTTGTAATTACAAGAGAAAGCTGTGAAGATTTTTTTCAAGAAGGTCATATTTTTCAAGACAAATATTTTAAGGTTAGTTATTCATCTTTCATAATAAGAACTGTATCAAATATTTATATTATTTACATTATTATGAATCAAAGTAGTCTTGAAGACATTATAGTAGTCTCGAAGATACTATGAAATAAAGAAATTCTTCATACATTTTTGAAATGTCTAGAAGACATTATCAAAGAAGAATATTCAAACTCTATTATTTTATTAATTTATTTTTTTTCACCAGAAGTGAGAAAAAACTATGTTTTATTGATGCGATACATTCTACATATTACATACATTTATTTTGCCTAATATATATGGAATGATGAATATATTTATTCTGCCTAATAATAATATTATTATGACACATATTTTATGTTCATGTTATCAATTTAAATATTCTGTAATAATTTAAATATTTTGCATATTCTATTTATTTTGTGCGATAATATATATTAAATTAGAGACAAGTTGATTTCCATAATTAAAGCAGTATTAATTTATAAATTTATGTCTATTTATGATTCTTTATTATTATTATTATTATTCCCCTAATTTTGTCTCTCTTTTATGATAGTATTGAACATGTCAAATATTGCGAAACTCGAATTTGTTGCTCTTGACATTACGGGAAAAAATTATTTATCTTGGATATTAGATGCTGAAATACATTTAGATGCAATGGGTCTTGGAGACTCTATTAAAGAAGAAAACAAAGCATCTAACCAAGATAAGGCTAAAGCTATGATTTTTCTTCGTCATCACCTTCATGAAGGGTTAAAAGCTAAATATCTTACCATAAAAGACTCACTTGTTCTTTGGAATAATTTAAAAGAAAGATATGACCACCAAAAAACTGTGATTCTCCCAAAAGCTCGTTATGATTGGATGCATTTACGGTTACAAGATTTTAAATCTGTAAGTGAATATAATTCTGCAATATTTAGAATTACTTCTAAATTGAAATTGTGTGGAGAAAAAATTACTGATGAAGATATGTTAGAAAAAACATTCTCCACTTTTCATGCATCGAATGTGCTCCTGCAGCAGTAATATCGAGAAAAAGGGTTTAAGAAATATGCTGAATTAATTTCCTGCCTCCTTGTGGCTGAGCAAAATAATGAGCTTTTATTAAAAAATCATGAGGCTCGACCAACTGGCTTTGCTCCATTCCCAGAAGTGAATGTTGCAAACCCATGATAAAGAAACTAGTGGTCAAGGCTATGGTCACAACCGTGGAAATAATCGTGGTCGTGGTCGTGGTCGTGGTCGTGGTCATGGTCGTGGTAGTAAAGGCGGTCGTGGTCATGGTTATGAGCTAAAAAATAATTTTTCACACCAGAAGTGGAAAAACAATGGGAAAAATAAGAAGGAAATAGATGGACATGGTAACAAACATGAGGAAAACAAATGTTATCGTTGTGGTGCCAAGGGTCACTGGTCACGTACTTGTCGTACACTAAAGCATCTTGTTGAACTTTACCAAGAATCAATTAATAAGAAGAAAAAGATAGAGACACATTTTGCCCAAGAAGACGGTGATTCAGATTATGGTCATATGGATGTTGCTGATTTCTTTGCTGATCCAAATGAAAAAGTTGATCACTTTATTGGTGATGGGAGTGTTCAGAAATAATTTTTTTTCCATATTTTATTTATTGGATTTTGAGTATTTCTTATGTTTTGATGTTATTGGATTATGAATTTTTTTTAATATACAAATTATTGTTAAATTTTTTTTCCCAGAAATTATTGTCTTCTTGTCTTTTATCATATTGTTTATTTACAAATTTTTTTAATTTTATGAAGAATGGATATTAACCATAGCATCAATAATGAAGATATGTGTCTCGATGATAGTGCAACGACTCACACGATTCTCAAGAATAATAAATTCTTTTCAAATTTAGTGATGCAAGAAATCAAAGTTAGTACCATATCTGGTACTACAAATATAATTGAAGGCTCCGGAAGAGCTAATATATTGTTACTGGGAGGAACGAAGTTGTATATTAAAAATGCATTATATTCTTCTAAGTCTTATAGAAACTTATTAAGTTTCAAGGATATTCGTTTAAATGGGTTTCATATTGAAACAAACAATGAAGGGAATGTAGAATATATTTATATCACGAAAATTCACTTGAATAAAAAAGAAGTATTGGAAAAATTACCTGCTTTCTCTTATGGACTGTATTGCACGTATGTTAATAATACAGTTGAAACACATACTATTGTAAACTACAAGTTTACAAATCAAAATAAATTTGAGATTTGGCATGATCGATTGGGTCACCCTAGGACTATCATGATGCGAAAAATAATTGAAAATTCATGCGGACATTTATTGAAGAGCCGGGGGATTCTTCAATCAAATATTTTCTCATGTATTGCTTGTTCCCAAAGAAAGTTAATAACTAGACCATCACCAACAAAGTTGGGCATGAATCTATCTTATTTTTAGAACGAATACAAGGTGATATTTGTGGACCAATACACCCCCCATGTGGACCATTTAGATATTTTATGGTTTTAATTGATGCATCAACAAGATGCTCACATGTTTGTTTATTATCAACTCGCAACCAGGCGTTTGCGAGATTATTAGCTCAACTAATTAGATTAAGAGCTCATTTTCCTGATTATCCAATTAAGAAAATTCATTTGGATAATGCTGGTGAATTCACATCTCATGCTTTTAATGAGTATTGTATATCCATTGGAATTGATATTGGACATCCGGTAGCACTTGTTCATACACAAAATGGACTTGCAGAATCATTTATCAAACGTTTAAAACTAATTGCAAGACCATTACTCATGAGATCAAAACTTCCAATGTCAACTTGGGGACATGCAATCTTACATGCCGCAATATTAATTCGCATCAGGCCAACAAGTTATCACAAATTCTCTCCTTTACAGTTGGTTTTTGGTAAGCAACCTAATATTTCTCATTTGAGAATCTTTGGGTATGCTGTATATGTTCCAATTGCCCCTCCTTAAAGAACCAAAATGGGTCCTTAAAGAAGGTTGGGAATATATCTTGGGTATGAATCCTCATCTATAATAAAATATCTTGAACCATTAACAGGCGATTTATTTACGGCTAGGTTTGTCGATTTCCATTTTAATGAGTTGATTTTCCCAACAATAGGGGGAGAACAAAAACAGTTGGAAAAAGATATTAGTTGGAATGAATTATCACTATCTCATTTTGATTCTCGTACAAAACAATGTGAACTAGAAGTTCAAAAGATAATTTATTTGCAAAATCTAGCCAACCAATTACCAAATGTATTCACAGATCCAAAAAGGGTGACTAAGTCATATGTACCAGCGGCTAATGCTCCAATAAGAGTCGAAGTCCCTGTTGGACAATTTAATACTACAAACGAGTCACAAATACGCCTGAAGCGTGGTAGACCAATTGGTTCCAAGGATAAGAATCCTCGAATAAAAAAGGGAGCTAAAGAGCAAAATGACCAAATTGAGGATGTAAAAACTCAAAAAGATTCCTCTGACATAACTCATATTCCAGTTCCAGAAGAAACTCAGGTACCTGAAATTATTGAAAATGAAGAGATCTCAATAAATTATGTCATGAATGGAATACGATGGAATCGAAACAATGTCAATATTGATGACGTGTTTGCATATAATATAGCGCTAAATGAAATAAATGATATTGAGGATCAAGAACCAAAGTCCATCAACGATTGTCGACAAAGAAATGATTGGCCAAAATGGAAAGATGCAATTGAGGCAGAATTAGACTCACTTGCTAAACGAAAAGTTTTTGGACCAGTACTACGTACACCAAAAGGTGTAAAACCAATTGGATACAAATGAGTTTTTGTGCGAAAACGAAATGAAAATGGTGAAATTGTGAGATACAAAGCAAGACTAGTTGTTCAAGGTTTTTTACAAAGACCCGGTATTGATTTTGAAGAGACATATTCACCTGTAGTGGATGCAAACACTTTTCGATATTTAATTAGTTTGGTTGTACATAAAAAACTTAATTTACATCTAATGGATGTAGTTACAACATATTTATATGGCTCTTTTGATGTTGACATTTATATGAAGATTATTCGATTAAATTAAATAAGTCCCTATATGGGCTAAAGCAATCAGGTCGTATGTGGTATAATCGACTAAGTGAATACTTGTTACAAGAAGGATATAAAAATGATCCAATTTGTCTGTGTATATTTATTAAAAGATCTCAAAATGGATTTGCCATAATTGTAGTTTATGTAGATGACATAAACATTATTGGAACTCCTGAAGAGCTTTCAAAAGCAATAGATTGCTTAAAGAAAGAATTTGAAATGAAGGATCTAGGAAGGACAAAGTTTTGTCTAGGATTACAAGTTGAATACTTAGAAAATGGAATTCTTGTGCATCAAGAAGCTTATATAACAAAGGTGCTTAAAAGGTTTTATATGGACAAATCACATCCATTGTGCACTCCCATGGTTGTAAGATCTTTAGATGTTAATAAAGATTCATTTAGACCCCAAGAAAAAGATGAAGAAATACTTGGTCCTGAAGTACCATATCTTAGTGCTATAGGAGCACTAATGTACCTTGCTAATTATATACGACCTGATATAACATTTGTTGTTAATTTGTTAGCAAGATATAGTTCTTCACCTACACGAAGACATTGGAATGAAGTTAAACAAATACTTCGTTATCTTAGAGGTACAATGGATATAGGGTTATTATATTCAAATGTTTCCAAACCAGAACTAAATGGTTATGCAGACGCAGGTTATATGTCGGATCCTCATAATGGTAAATTTCAAACAGGATATTTGTTCACAAGTGGTGGTACAGCCATTTCATGGCGATCTGTAAAACAAACCATATCATCCACTTCATCTAATCATGCTGAAATTTTAGCATTACATGAGGCAAGTCGTGAATGTGTTTGGCTAAGATCCGTGATTCAACACATACGGGAAACTTGTGGTTTATCTTCTGGAAAAAGGATAATGTTACATGTATTGCAAAATTGAAAGATGGATACATAAAAGGAGATAAAACAAAGCATATTCTACCAAAATTCTGTTTTACTCATGATCTTCAAAGGAATGATGATATAAATGTTCAACAAGTCCGCTCAAGTGAGAACTTAGCAGATCTCTTTACAAAGTCACTTCCAAGAAATTTTTTTGAACAATTGATACACAAGATTGAACTCCGTCGTCTTAAAGATTGTATGCATGAGGGGGAGAAATAAATATTTATGAATGATGTACTCTTTTTCCTTCACTAAGTTTTTATCCCACTGGGTTTTTCCTAGTAAGGTTTTAACGAGGCACATTCTAAATATTGGACATCCAAGAGGGAGTGTTATGAATAATAATTAGTGGCTTAATTAGTGGATGCATTCATTATCAATCATTACCATTTATATTTCCGTTATGTATTATTCTCTTTATTGTGTAATTGTTCAGTTACCACGTGTACTTATAAATAGGTTAGTCCTCTTCCAAAGATAAGATACCAGTTAGATTCTATTCTACATCTCATATTATCTTGTTTGCTCTCTCTACTTTTTCTTCTTTTATAACATATTAAACCTTTTATTGAGCTTTTTTTTTACTAAAATGTCTCCTATTTGGACAAACTTTTTTGAGAAAAAAACTCAGATATTAAAAACTTCATGTAACATGTCTATTAATTAATATTCACATTCAACAGTTAATTGTAATTAAGATATATTTCTTTTTTAGTAATTTTTATATTTCTTTATATATATATATATATATATATATACATAGTTAAAAAAATATTTATTTATACATGATTAATATACAATTAGCCATTATATATAATTTCACTTAACAATTACTTATATAATAGAATTATATTATTAATGTCTTTCTAACCTTTTTTTAGTAAAAAAAGTTGACAAAAATGTTTCTCATTTGGGTTTTTATTGGGAAAAAAACACTTACGAATGTTAATAATTTTGTATAATAAAATATAAAAATTAATTTTAATGGACATTATTATTTCATGCGGTCACAAAAGTAACTGTAGAGAATTCTTGTCTGATGTCATCAACCAAGTGATGATACTGCTTATCTAACTCAATAACAGTACGTGTCAGTATCACTTGATCACTTGATAAATGAGTACTATTAGATTTTCTTACAATTTTTAAAATTTTGTAATTTATATATATATATATAACTATACATACAAATAAACACTATATATATATATATATTTAATATCTTACAAAATTCAATATTCATTAGGCGTACATTAACAAAGGACACAGCGTTGTGCCTTACCTCCAATGTTCCTTTTCTTTCCAAAGGACACATTTGCTTGCATGTAACATATCCTTTCTGCTGTATTAATATTATTCCAGAAACCTTAACACCAATTCGGAAACTCCCAGTATACAAAAGAGCTAGATATACACTTTTTTTTCTTTGCAGAGGAAAAAAGTAAAACAAACTAAGTATTCTAACTGCATGTATTATTAGAAATAATCATATGAATAATTTCAGGATGAGCAACCATCCCACCTTTACCATAAGTTTCCAACAAAGGCTAAAGTGTAACAGTTTGGCAGCACCAGATTTACTGGCACCAGTAGTGTCCTGTCCTGCAATCAGTGAAGGAAAGACATTCGAACATGAGTAATGCAATCTTAACTTTGTGTTAGACGGGATATAAAAGAATATAAAAAGTAAATAACATTGATTTGTTATCTACTATTTATTTTAAGTCCATGCAAGAAGAAATAATATTACTCACGATGGACATGGAAACAATTGATTGGTACTTTATCATATTTGCTTAGGTTGAAGAGAACTGATTGGAATTTATAACATAAATGGTTTAAATCAAAACAAAAGTTAAGAAAGGAAAGAATGAGGCAATCAGTTGAAATATTTATCTATATAACTAACAACTCCTGCTATTCCCTATGCCAAGTTGATTAGGTGAGGAACTTGGTTCATGGTTGTGAAAATAGCAAGAAGTTCAAGCTTATGCATATGTATATTGGGAAAGGATAGTACAAAGTTAAGTACAAAAATGAATTTACCAAATTCAAATTTGTTTCTCCACCATATTTTCACTCCTAGGAACTGAACCCAAATTTTTTCTAGCTCACGACAATCAAATAAAATGACACATCTTCACTGTGGAAAAAAGAATTATGAAGGCAAGAGCAGTAAAAGCGGCTTGTAAGGATCTTGGTTTCTAAACCATTTTCTAATTGTTTCCCTATCAATGACTTAAATTAAACAATTCCATTGATTGGATTTGGATCCACTGAAGTTGCTTCATACTTCACGTTTTTTACAACACACAAAATCATATAAAATAGTAAAATAATACAGATAACTAAGTAGAGGGCTTAATGAATCATTTCTGAAAATCACACATTATAGAAAGTCGAGGACAACATATAGCTAGCATGAAAAGGCACACTACGTTTTACATTGCATATGCTGCATACTGAAGTGATTCAATTTCTTGAACTACCCAAATTCCATATACCATAATCAAATTATTTACTAAAATAGTAGGAATTAGGAACCATTTGGCCAAGCAAGTTAAAAGAAACAAACAAGTGCATCAATTCAATATTTATCAGTTTCATTGTTTGATTATCTATATATTACTAACCTGGATGAACTGGAATACTCTGTTCATTCCTGAAGAAGTTTTCAGGATCAACCGCAGTCTTGATCTTAACCAACCTCTCAAAATTGTCATTGAAGTACTTGACTCCATAAACACCTCCTTCTTCGTAGCTATTCTTCCCAAAACTGTTGGTACCAATATCAAGGTCCCTGTAGTTTAAGAAGGCCCTTCTTGGACTATTGGACACAAATGGGGTCATGTAACTATATAGTGCCCTAGCCTGACTAGTAAAATTATTTTCCACTTCAACTCCAGGTTCATCCCAATTCACCGAGTACTGAATCTTGAACAGATTCCCTGCACGGTGAGGAAACGGCGTCGCATTAGATGACACCTCACTCATTTTCCCTCCATAAGGGTTGAAAACAAACCCCGTTTTCCCCAACTCAACCATCTTCTCCCAAATCCCTTCCAACCCATCTTTGGAAATTGGTTTCTGCACATAATCAGATTTCCTCTTGAGGAAACTTGCTGAGTTTAAATCCCTGTCAAGCAATGCATCAGGCTTTGTGGCATTGTCAAAGTTACCCCACCAAAGCACAGAATCAATCCAACTCATCTCAGTGCAATTCTCCTTGCTCAAGCCAAGAAAAGGAAACTCCTTTTCCAACAATGTGACAACCTCATCAGCCCCTCCAAGAAACAAAGCCATCACAGTGGCTCTGATGGTTCTATTCCCCTTCACAACCTTAGAACTCACAGGCTGCAAGAGCAGCCTCATGAAAAGCCTATCATCGGTGTGCGGCGCCACCTGCTGCCACTGAAGAACAAGCTCAGTGACATTCTCATTCTGATCCAAACTCTTCATGACCCTAAAAACAGTCACAACTTCTGGCACCGGGACAAGTTTAACAGTGTATGATAAAATGACTCCAAAACTTGCTCCACCCCCTCCTCTAATAGCCCAAAAAATATCCTCCCCCATACCCTCCTTGTCAAAAATCCTACCTTTGACATCAACAATTCTAGCATCAACAACATGGTCAACAGACAACCCATGTTTTCTCAACATGTTACCATACCCTCCTCCACTCAAGTGGCCACCAACACCAACAGTGGGACACACCCCAGCAGGAAAGCCATGAACTTTACTCTTCTCCCA